GCGAGAACTTCCTCGCCACGTACAAGAGGTCCAAGACCGTCAGGATGGAGGAGAGCGTGAGGCGCCTGTTTGGCAAGCAGTATCAGGTCGCGAAGAGGGACGCCGATGGCTTGCTGGGCTGCAAACATTACGCGAGGGCCTGCAAGCTTAAGGCAAAGTGCTGCGACTTGGTTGTCGCCTGCCGGTTTTGTCATGACGAGGAGATGGGCGATGATCATGAGATGGATCGCTTTGCGACGGAGAGGATTGTCTGCATGCGCTGTTGGAAGGACCAGCCTGTTGCTGCACGATGTGTTGATTGTAGCGCCCAGTTTGCCCATTGGTTTTGCAAGCACTGCCGCTTCTTTGAGAACACCCCGACAAAGAAAGTCTACCACTGCGATCTCTGTAATATATGCAGGCTGGGCGAGGGCTTGGGCATTGACAACTTCCACTGCCACAAGTGCGACGCCTGCGTCTCGTTGGAGTCAAAGAGCAGGCATCGCTGCATCGGCAAGGCCCTGCATGCCAACTGCCCCGTATGCACGGGCTACCTCTTCACCTCCACCGAACCCGTCGTCTTCATGCGGTGCGGACACACCATGCATAGCGAGTGTTTCCGCCAATACACCACGCGTCGCTTCCAGTGCCCGCTGTGCATGCACTCCATCGTGGACATGAAGAAGCGCTTCGAGTACATCGACGAGTGCGTGCGCAATGAGCCGATGCCGTCCGAGTTCCACCGCAAGCGCTCGCGCATCCTGTGCAACGACTGCGGCAACAAGTGCGTCGCCAAGTACCACTTCGAGCACCACAAGTGTGACAACGACCGCTGCAGCAGCTACAATACCCGCGTCCTCGAGGAGTTCGACGTCCCGCAAGAACACCATCACTCGTTCTACCACGCGTCGGGGGAAGAGACGGCGGAGACCATGCCTCACCTCCCTCGTGACACGGTCTCCGCCTTGCGTCTCGACGAGGGGGGCCCGAACGTCGTCCCGTGCTCCGTTGGCGCTCCGTCACATGGTAGCACGCCAGACCCGTCGTGAACCGACGCCCCAGACACCGTGCCTGACCGCTTATCAGACCAAGCTAGAGGTGTGGTACTCCTTGCCGCTTCGGGTGCTTCTTGACATACATTGTGCTTGTAGGCGCAAAATGTTCGAGAGCATCCCCACCCTTTGTCTGCCCAGGACTCATGCAAATACGAAAAACAACTCCGGTTTTTTGACATGCTGGCAGGCACAGGGTTTGCGCTGCAATGCGTCGCGTGGTATGCAGTTTTTTTTTTTTTTTAATCCGAATACGTGGAGCTGCGCGTATTCTCAGGAGGAGGGTCTCGGTGTGTGTAGGAGAGTGGAGTGAGCGTGAGAGAAGGAGAGAGATAGAAGTTGCGTGTGGAGTGTATGTGTTTGTGTATGTGAGTGTGTCTTTTTCCGAGACGAAGGTCGCGTGAGATAGTCAAGTCTGTATGACGGACACACACCCAGTACAAACATGGCCACCACGCTTATCGCAACAGTTGGTTTACGTTTGAATAATTCTAGAGTGACTTCACGACAGAGTTTTTTGCTCAATTGTCTCGCCTCTGCGGCGTGCGTAACCGACGCCAATAGCGAATAGGCTTTTTTAGCCAATGTTTTTTTGTTTTTATGTGTTCCATGTTTTCAAAAGTCGCAGAAGGCAGAGCGAGCGGGCACACACGGGCGACTACAAGATTCAATAAAAACGTATCTCGTCTCGCCCGAAAAAAGAATATATATATATATATAAACAATGTGTGTGCGTAGGGACTTGTGCCTGTGCACAATTGTCATCTTCCAAACAAAAAGAGAGCCCCATACTGAGAGAGTCGCGACGGTTGAACGCAGTTAACCGAGACTCCGATGCGACGAAAAGTGTTGTACCGTACTTCCTCACTTGCGCAGAGAGAGGAGGTGAAAGAATCCAAGCTGTCCAGGCCTACATACTGTACCATGGGTATTGTTCTGTACCTACTGCATGTAATTAATGTTCAGCAAGTCTTGCGCGCAGCATGGACGACTACAGAACCGTATGCCACCAAAACAGCTCCTTTCCAGATCGTGCTGTCCACGATCACACTCTCGTTCCACCCATCCTGATATGCATCCAAGAACTCCCCCGTCCACGCATTCATTGACTGGCATTGCTCAGATCTCACTTCCAAATCTATACGGAGATGCTAGCTCTCTCAGCGCAGAGACTGCAACAGAGAGCCTCACAGAGCGAGCAAGCGCCGCGCCGCGCCGCGCCCTAACACGTACAGATCTCTCACCCCTGTCCCCGTCTACGACGTCTCTATATTTAAGATTGTGTTTCCGCCTCTCGCCACAACGACCGCCCCCGCGTCCGCCGCTCATTGGATGTACCGCGTCCACCTGCTCCTGCTATCACTGATTGCTGAACGTTGTACCGCGTAGTCCCAGCAGCCTTGCACCGACCTCAGTCTACTGAGTTCCGCACATCCACAGTGTACCCTATTTCACCGTTTGCGTCGTCGCCATCACTCCGTGAGCGAAAAGCGAAAGGTCGCACAAACCCAGCGGGACTCCCTTTCTCGCCCTCTTCCAAACCGCTATAACATAGTTACGTGCCACCCGCCGCCCGTCCATCAACTCGACTTACCACGTTGTACGCATCACAAGAGTGCTGCACAATTTCCTCAAAAACAGTCTCCGTTACCGGCCTTCCCCCCCGTCCACGCGTAGCCTTGCGTGCAACTCTGTAAGCATTGCCACAAAAGCAATGGCCAGCTGTGAACAAAGACTGAGAGGAAGGCAGGATCGTCGTTGTTGCGCTGGGCAACGACTTCGGACTTGCCCACAAGACGGACATGGATAAGGGAGCTTGTCTTTGACTCTAAACCTGTACTGGAAAAGCGGACACGGAAGCGCTGTAGGCACTGCTAAAATGCACCGCTTGCGGAATGTGGGCCAGACCGCCAGATATAAAACCGTCTTTTGACTGTCGGCCATAGGGAGACCTTGGTGTTTGGGCAGCAGTTTGTATTCCAACGTTAGCTTCCTCTTGAACACGCTTCGCAGTGGCATAACAGTTTCCACAGCACAGTGCAGATGCAACATCATTCGCATGGCTCAGAAAACGCCCGCAAATGTGCCTGGCGATCCAATCATGCACTAGATGGACAACTCATGGAGCCTTTCAACAGCAGTTGACGCTTTCCATCGCAGCACCACGGAAAACACTCAGAGGTGACGTCCGGACGAGACAGGTCAGAGCTTCACAAATGGCACGTTCCCCATCGCAATTATTTGTGACTGCCCAAACGGGTGGAAACGCCAGAAGACTCCATGGGATCGCCACGTGCATCATAGACGGTCATGGAGGCGCTCTTCACACTCTCTTGAAATAGGTTGCGCGCAGTTTTAATGCCGCGCTGAGGATACTGAGCACAAACTAAAATATTATTTTCGGAGCACAATTTCCAAAATCTGCCAGAAGCTCTGTGGTGCGCAACGAATGTCCATAGTTTCAGGTTCTCCCTCCATTGCAAAAAATGTTCATCGCCCACCAAACTGATTGTAACACGTACAGTGCATTCCATAAGGGGGTGGCGGACTCAATGCAAAGGCGACCTGCTTATCCCTGCCGACTTCCGCGAAGCTCCGAGAGCGGCATCACGGCAACTGCGAGAGCGAAAGCGAGAGTGAAAGACGGCAAGTACCAAAGATGTTGGCGCTGTCGGAAGTGAAGTGTAGAGACGTGAGCGGTGTTGACGATGCTGCCGGGAACATCATTCGCACTGGGAATGGCGGGCGTTTTGCTCATTTGAACTGGTGAGAATTTTGCACTCGAAGAAAACGCGCCAAGAAAAAAAAACGTAAAATGTCAGGATTCATGCGAATTTTAATACCCCAGGGTCCTCTATGGAACGCATCTACATAAAATGTGAACGTTTGTCTCACATCTGCAGTCTGAGACCTGTGATGTGCAATACTCATGATGGGTTTATTTTTTCTAACTTTCAGGGGGAGCCGATGCTACTTCCATAAATCCCCAATTTTGACTCAATTTTACGAAAAGTAATGGCATTTTAGCTGAAAACATGTACAGAGAGCGAAACTCGGCAGCTGGATGTAGGGCTATACAGGGGGGGTCGCTCAATAGTGCCTACTTTAGTAGTGCTTCCCTCTATATAGTGCTATGGCTCACCCTCTGGCACAGGTTATCATACGCTCACACGTGTATCATCCGGCATGGTTCAGTACTCAAAGGATGAAGTTATTTAGTTGTGTTATACAGGCTTTGTTGTGTTTGTGTTAGCAGTGTGCTTTGTCCCCAAATATATGTATTTGAGCCTCCTTTCTATAGTGCCATCCCCCCAATAGTGCCATAGCTAGAGGTATGTCACGCTATAGCACTATATCGTAGGAGGCCCTGTAATGCTTTCAAGTTTTATGATAATCGCCAGTGTGAGGTGACAAAAGTGCTGATTCTGTTTGCTTTTGTTGCAAACTTTCGCTGCAGAATGCATCAATAGTTGTATCGTAGTGAAAGCTCAGATCATCACCGATCTATGGGTGTGTCCTTCGTTATGTAGTGATGGTAAACAGCCGAACGGTATGCATTTGAAGTGCAATGAGTCAAAATTGGGGATTTATGGAAGTGTACCATAGGACGGGCGATAAAGAATCACATTTGGGTGGGACATGATAGGGCCGAGCCGTGATAAGGCATCATGTACAGTGTACCTACTGTACAGTGTACCTACTGTACCATACACGTAGCATACCGTCTTTGCCAGCTCACAGTGCCCTGGAAAATAAACGTCACATCGGAAACCTTTAAGTAGAAAACTCTGTCTCCTCTTCTTCCCTCTTTTCCTCCGTCCCTTTCACACTTTCGCCCAGCTCCATAATCAGTCCCACGGAGGATGGACAACCCCAACAACAAATCCGAGTTTGAGAAAATGGTCTCTTGCGAGTTGTACGACTGCGACGTTCCTGACCTCTTTGCAAGACGAGCCAAGGCGAAGAAGCTTACCTTGGAGTACAATACAACTATTGGCTATGAGAACGACCTCGAGAAGCGACAGGAACATCTGAAAAAGTTGTTCGGCAAGGTTGGACCGAATTGCATCATCGAACCACCCCTGCAGGTGGACTACGGCGAAAACACAGAAATCGGAAAAAATTTCTACGCAAACTTCAACTGCGTCATTCTGGACTGGTACGTACAGTACATGCACTTCTTTCATCGGCATATTTGATGCATTAGCACTTTCCCATGCACAGAAAAAGAAAGATTTCGCATTCTAAAATACCAGCTTCCATCTGCGTTTGATGCCCCGTTCGCCCTTGAATCAGCGCGAAAGTCATAATTGGTGACAACGTCCTCCTCGCACCGGGCGTGCAGATCTACCCCGCGACCCATCCGCTCGACGTCGAAACGCGCCATAGAAAGGGGTTAGAAATGGCGCACCCAATTACTATCGGCAGTGATGTCTGGATCGGTGGAAACGCCATTATCCTTGACGGTGTGACAATAGGTGATGGCGCTGTCGTCGGGGCTGGGTCTGTCGTTACGAAGGACGTCGCCCCAAACACTGTCGTTGCAGGCAATCCTGCACGCGTTCTCCGCACTATCGCGAATTAAGTCACATGCAGTTGGCTCGCCCGGCTCCTTGCTATCCACCGCCACAAGGCTCGAAACTTGTCACTCGGATGTCAAATTGACGTCGCCAACAGTCAATTCCGATGCCAAATTTTGGACAACTCTTTATTTTCTAGTCCAAAAAGATGGGGGTGTCGCTGCTGAAGGAATGCCGTTGTCAGAAGATGTCTGGATTGAACTATTGATGTGTCTCCACTTGTAGCTTCTGTGGTGGTTTTGTTCCAGTTTCGAAGTGCCACAATCCTAGCCGATCTGAACAAAAGCATCATTCAAAACCAGTTGTAGTTAGTCTCCAGCAGAACGCCAGTCGTCCGCGGTTTCTAATCTCAGATTATCATGACTCGAATTACCTTCAGTAATAAGCAGGAGCACCTGAGTCTGAGACGACAAGAAAACTACTATGACACACACCTCTGTATCTTGGGCATTAATTGACTGGACTGGCCACTTTTATCCTTGAATGCCAGTTGTTTTCTTGATACCAGCTTCTTGTTTTCTCTCTTCCTGACCTTTCTCCCGTACACAACAGAAGAAAAAGGTCCAAGCAGTAGACACAAGCACATACCGAAACGACAAGCCCTGCCCTTGTTCCACTCTCTTTTGAGTCACTCCCCCAGGTCACGTCTGGCAGCGGCACGTCAACAGATTCTTAGTCGGTGGGTGCCAAAACGTTTCCGAGCTACTTTCATTGATGACAAACAACCTTTCGCGCCCCGGTGATATGGTTGACGGTGTGCTGAATGCATCTTGTTCATGAAGAGGTCTTTTCGAAACGACACGGAAACGCAAAACCTTTATACAAAATGCTTCTGCCATGCGCGCAATGCATCAAATGTGAAAACTGGAAAAGAACTCAGCAAATTCTGAACTCATAGTTCTTCAAATGCACAGGCATCAGAAGTCTACATTTTCTGTAGGTATTACTGCAGTACGAAGTCCGAGGGAGTCTGTCCTATTCCCATCAACGAGAATTTGAACAATTGCTTCTGAGGAGGCAGTCTTCTCCAATTCCTCTTCAGATGCAAAGATCAACAGCTTAGGTGCATTTCAAAGAAAACGGTCTCCTCGTCACCGCTGCCGTACGAGCTCAGTCTGGACAGATGGTCTCAAGAAATAACTTCTGTAGAATTTCAAATGAACCATCCCTCAAATGAAAATTGAAATATAGTATGGAACAGATATTATGCTTGCTTGGCCCAATTCATACTATTTAATATTACTCTTTGCAAGACAAACACGCATTGGAATTGTGCAATGCCGAATAAGAACAAGATAGTGGCTACCAGAAAAACAAGCCCTCTCGAAAGCATGATCTACAAGTTTTTATCGAAGACACTTACTCTCTTCAATTGTGTCGTTCGGCAAAGGAACATGTGAAAGACCATTTTTGCTTTTGACAAGTAATACGGTTTTGATCGAGCATCAGAACCCTACAAGAATGTGTCCTCCGTTAAAAAATTCACGCACCGGTGAGCATTATTAGTCTTGACAGTATCCCTTTTTTCGAAAGCAGACGGTTTTTAAAAGAGGCGTTGGTATGCGAGAATCTACAAACGATTTGAAATTAGGTTTTCCGCCTGCTTGTTGGGGCGGGGGGTGGCCAACAAATAGGGGGAGCGGTCATACCAGTCTTAAGGAAAACACGGGGGTTGTCGCTATTTGCAGCACCGTTTACCCAATAACTGATATTTGTGGCTGCATTCAGAGGTCCTGTCGTTGTCAGTTGTGCTGACTCTTTAGAAGTATTGTTTGCCTGGCCCCAATGGAAATAGCTAAAGGGTCGTCAACGGCGAGCACACTGTCGAAGATTTTTGTGCCTGCAGTTTATTCAAAAAATTACAAATTTTACATATGATAACGGAAACATCTGGCGCATTTGCACTGCAAATTTTGCAGACAAAAAAGTATTGCGTCATGCCATGCCGTGCCCCCGATGGGCTAGCTCCTCTGTCGATGTTGTGCACTATTCGATAGAAGTGATGGAGATGATGATGATGTCGCACCAACAACAGACACTGAAAAGATCCCACTCTGGCAGAGTTAAGGTTCGTTTTGCGAGACAGAGTTCCTCTGGTCTTGTTCTGGTTGCCATTCTCAACACTGTCCATTGTTTGCGCATTTCAAATTGGATCGCCGCATCGCCCCTTCTTCGCATTCTCATAAAGTCAGGGTGATTTTTCAGCACTGATGCTGTCCCGCAGGGCATTATTATACAGTTTTCTTTAAAATGTATGAAAACGAATTCTCTCTGGACCTTTCTATGATATTGGACGTGCAAGATCTATGAGAATTATAGGATTTGTGGTTCATGTGTCGAGTACCTCAACTCTACAGTTTTCACTCTATAACTAGATAGATTTCACACGGTTATTTGGAATGGAAAACGTGAAGACTGGTCAGTGTTTCAGAATTCCACAACGATCACTTTTACGTCAGACCAAGTAATCACTCTTGTCGAAAACGGCAGTCTCCTGAGTTTTCCGTACCAATGTGCAAATCAATTAAAACCAAGCCACGACGTGCATTAGTTTTGTTTTGTCCATTAAACACCTGCACACGAAAGATATTGTATCCAACGTTCTATACTTTTCTCCAATTGCATCGTTCAAAGCCTCCGAACTTGCTGCCAATAATTTTCTCATTAATTTTAATGCATTGGAAGTAAATAATATAATAGAGTCAAGCATCCATCGCTTTTCCTCATTCTTGGGTATCAAATGCCCAAAAGCTACCACTGTCAACTTTCAAAGTGATGCTTCTCGTACGTTTCCGGCAAAAGCAGTAGATGCTTCCCTCTCACAGGTCAAAGAAGCCCTTGATAGTATGATGTAGTACTAAAGAAAGCATGTACGTACTTTTTGAACTTCTAGAGATACTTAGTGTATGAAGACAAGTGACTGACAGAGTATGCTCTGAAGGGCATAATACTTCAATAATATTACATCATTAGAGACATCCCCGGCTAACAGTTTGGGGTAGGCCACAATATCGAATGCTCGTCTGCTTTGATCGCTCAAGATTTGTAAGCCCGTTAGGTCAGCACTTTCAGACCGGTCTCGAAAAGTCTTCTCTGTCTGCCAAAATGCAGTTCGTCGTGGACCTTTCTGCCGTCCCCTGGGATCGGAAATTGCATTTCGATAGCCAAGTCATGGAATGACGATTTTATATCTCCCAAAAATGGCACAGATTAGGATCCCATGAGCAGACTGAATCCAAGTTGATGTTCTTGAACGAGAATTTCAATGCAAGCCCCCCTTCACGACAATAGCCCCAGAAAATAATCTTTTAATTGCAGATCACAGTGCACTTCACATGGTGTCTACTTTCGATGTCTGTCTCGCCTTACTAACACTTGCATTGCTTTAACCTGTGCACCATCTTTGGAATTTTCGTACTCACTGTCAAAAAGCGTCTTTAAAGAGAGTTCATTATTCTGTATCAGCTGCGTTACTTGGCTCTGGGCGACTGGGGTTGATAGAAACCTGATATTTGAAGTGACAGCTTACTGCTCAGAGGGATAATCTCATGGCATCGCCTGAGGCAACCATCCCAAAGCATCGCAGCAACTACACGACTTGTATCCAGAAAAGCTCTTCAGCCGCCTTCTCAATAGTTCCAACTGACCCTCTTGCAATGGACATTTTCAACAACACCTTGCTACCGATTAGCGATCTTCACGATGCTTCCTTTTTCGCGTCAAAGCAAAAGAGCGATGAAGTGCGAAATCATCCTGCCGGAAGCAATCACAACTCTTCTCGAACAGGCCATCCAATCAAGGGTACCTCTCTTGTGGGGGGATATGCGCCAGAGACTGATTGCATCTCTACTATTCAACGCCAAGAATTGGCTCTTCTTGAACAAGTCCTCCACAAAAAGGATGGAACATCAGCGCCCTCTTCTTCATATACTGTTCAAGCCCGATCAGAGACCAAGTCTATGCCGTGTTTGCTTGAGCCAGAGTTATTGTTTTCGGATATACTCGGTGACCATGGTACTCCACCGCAACCCTTAACTATCAAGAGTGGAGATCACGATGAAGAACCACCTGCTTTTCGGTGCATGGCGATGAATCGGTCGTCTTCCAAACATGTACAGGAGAATGAGAAATTGGCAGAACCTCAATTTCCCTCGCAGAACTCTATCCTTGATCTCGATGTATCAGGGGCGTTAGCAAGCATCGGTTATGCTGACTCACGAGAAGCACGGGAAGTGGAAGGTGGCCAACAGGTGATGAACAGCCACCAGGTAACTTTTTCGAATGTCACGAGGGAACAGGAAAACGAGGACACTCACACTCCCAACAAGAATTCTGGTTCCAGTAAGAATAGCATCCTTTCACCCGCAAACTCATTTGCTTTGGCTGATCTTCAAAAAGTTGCAGGACTGAATCCAAATGCAAAAGAGAAGACTAGAAGATATTCTGAAATACGGGACTTCAGAACGCATAGGTCGGACAGGCTTGAAACCGAAACTGAGAATCCATTGCTGATTGCAAGACAGCAGATGACTTTCGATGACGCGGCTTACTCTCCAATTAGTGATAGCTCGATGAGCGGAGCAGGCACACACCCCGATTTGTACGAGAATCTGGGGCTAATTGAAAGAAAACTTGTTGACAGCCTGAAGGGGAAAATTTCCTTCATGCCTCGCCGGAAACTACGAGAGAGTTTGGCCAAATATGTCAGTATTGAGGAGGTAGAACCCCTGATGTCCGTCAATAGGGATGAGTTGGCTGGGATGCTTGGACTCGGAGTAACTACTTGGAAAATGTTTGTTCATCATACGTTGGGTGTTCCACGGTGGCCCGCCCGAGCGCTGAAGTCACAAAAAGTGAAAGAGAAGAAGCTTCTCCAGAAGAAGGCAGAAGCAGAGGCGAGTGGTGAGTACGTGGTGGCCGAAAGGGTCGAGAAAGAACTAGCTCGATTGAAACAAGCACACATGAAGAGAAGGAAGTTGTTCCGCAGGGATGGAAGAATTGCAATCAGCAATTCCGGAATTTCAAAGAAATAAATATATCTCAACAGATGAATGTAGACTTTTCCAGGCGATAGTCTCCGCTCTTGCGACTGCGATGCACTTATGCTTATCGTATACCATCTGCTTGGAATAGCAAGTTTTGTTTACGTAGTTGTACACAATGATTATTGTTAATCATACTTCTGCAATAGGAAGGGGGCCGAAAGAGAGAGAATATGAACTGTGCTTCGGCAATGTGGTTATCGTGAACTGTGCCCGAGTTTAGAATCAATATATTCAAAGAACTTGAACAAAAAAGAATGGTAGAAAGAAATTATCTGTTTTTCCAAAAGAGAACACATTAGTGGACTGCCATCTTAGAGATGACATGCATCAAAGTCTGAGGCGTATGAGACTTCAGCCGATGGTAAAGTCAATTTATTTGGTGTCAA